CCCTGGTGCCGGAGCAGGAGCCCGGTTGCAGCCGAGCGTCCCGCTGCAGCGTTGCGGTGGGCTGTGCGGGACCAGGCGCTGGGCAGCACCGCAGCAGCCGGCTCAGCCCCTCGGGCAGACGCAGCCCTGGGATGCTGCTCCCCACCCACGTGCAGACCCCGAGTCAGGACAGCGTGAGCAGAAAGGACCAGACCCACTTTGGGGACCCGTCCCCAGTGGGATCACTGGGGCCACAGCCCCCCACTCAGGCGGCTGGTGCCCGATCCACACTCTGGATCAACACCCAAAGCAGAGTGGGGCATCCAGCCCCCGGCCAGCCCCAACCCCCCCGGCTGGTCCTGCCCCCCTCAGCCCAGCTCCACTCCGTCCTCCCCAGCAGAGATGAAGCCAGGAAGGTGGCCAGTGGTGAGGACCATCCCCTCGCCCGGAGGGGACCACAGCCAGAAATAGCACCGGCGTCGTTGCCTCCTGGCCAGGGCACGTTCCTGCGCCACTCTCTGCACCCGCCGCAGCGCGGCATGGCAGCCTGGTCACTTTGTCACGTCAGACCTGAGCGATGGCCCCAGCGAAAACCACCAAACTCGTTCCATTTCTTACCCAACCAGCTCCAAATGAGCTTGAGAGAGGGAACAGCCACCGCGTTAACTGTGCGGTGACCGCGGTGGGCACCGGCCAGGAGGGTGGCAGCAGCCATGCACCCGCCCCGGGCTCTGCTTTGCCCACTCGAAACCCACCCTGAGCACTGCTGACACGGCAGAAATCACCCTCTGAGCTCCGGGGGAGCCGGGAACCCCACGCCACAGCCAGCAGCAGAAACGTATTGGGGGAAAGAAGGTTTTTCCAGGTCTCCTGGGCTGCATTTCAGTGACTAAACAGCAAAGCCTTCCCTCGGTGCCAGCCCAGCCGACGGGCACACGCAGGCTCAGCCAGGGACCTTCCTGCTGCCACCCACCTCCCGAGCCCAGGATCCCAGTGCCAGAAGCTTCTGGCTCAACCTCCATCAGAGGATGAGTTATTAACCCTGATATACCAGTCCTGAGATAAACCCTCGTCCCGCAGGCATCCGCCCGCCGAGATGAAAGGCGCCGCTGGGCTGCCCTGGCTGCACTGGCGAAGCAGAGGAGGAAAAACATTCCAGGAGAGTTGCTCAGCACCGGCCGCGTGGCCCCGGCAGGGTTGGCAAAGGCTGCTGCCATCCGCACTGGGGACGTTTTCTCCAACAAACCTCTCCCCTTGTATTCCAAAATGGCTCAAGAAACACCAAACAAGCCGCCTGCTTTCCCCCTCCTACGGGAGGAATGCCCCTTCCCAGAGAGCTCTCAGGAGGAAGGACCAGTCCCTCGGGTAAGGCTGCTTTGGAGGAGACACCAGAGCTCTGCTGGTGGCAGGACACCGAGTGCCCGGGGCGGGAGGCCAGCACCTTCCCCAGCCACCCACTGGCAGGGCCCCAAAAAGCGGGAGAAGGCACAGAGAGCCTCCCACACCGTTGAACCCTCCGTCCATCCCACCCGGCAGGTTCCCCATCCACTGCTCTGGCCTCTGCCACAGCAAGGTCCCGACATAGCACCTGGCACCACAAACACTTGGTTGGGGGGTCACGAAGACCCACCGACCGCCCGAAGTCCCTGCAACAGAAAGGGACATCAGCTGACATCTGTCCCACGCCACCCAGGCCAACGTTTCGGAGCCACATGCCGCCACCTTGCTCCTTCTGCCGGCTCTGCCCTGGGCTGTGCTGCAAAAGCCCAAGCGGAGCAGAAACTGCAGGCACGCTCCCCCGAGGACATCGCCCACCCCAGCACGCAGCTCCAGACCCTGGCAGGGCTGCAGAGACCCAGCGTGACCAGAACAAAACCGAAGGCTCTCCGTGAGAGCCCCACATGAACCTGTTTTGTCCCTCTCGTGCCTCCCGGCCCAGGTGAGCACGGACACGGGCAGCAGGTAGGTCACTGCCCACTCCGGTCACATTCTTTTCATTCCCCAGCCTCCAGCTCTGTGACACAAACTGAGTCACAAACACACCTGGATATTTGTCTCTCTCTCCTTTCTTTAATCAGCTGTATTTTACGTAGCTTTGAAATACATTTTTCTCCAAAATGTTGTTTTTCCTGTATATTATTCGATCACAATGAAATTTGGCCGGTCCTTGCTCTGATGCACGCCCAGTCCTGGTGTCGACACAGTGGAAGAGTCCGCTCGGGCTGAGAGAAGGGCAGGACTGCAACAGGGAGGAGGTGTAAAAAATACAAAAGACCAGGCAAGGATGCTTTCAGTCGCAATCCTGCAGCCAACCGCCCACCGACGCGCAGGCTGGCAACGCACGTACGGGTGCTGGTTGTGTCGGAGTCCGGTGCCCGGAGCTCACAGCATGCCCGCGCTCGGCACGCAGGAGGGCTCGGACAAGCCCAGCCTGCCTGGGGTGGAAGGGGACGGCTCAGCACAGCAGTCTCCGGAGAGCTTACCCTGTAGTTTTCCTCAAATCATGCATAACGTCTCGTTGAGCTGAAACGTCCATTTATTTAACAGCAGTAATAATTTAAAATTATAAAAACCCTTTCGGTGTTGAGTATCAGAAGGGTGAGGTTACAAAGAAAAATAAATGGGACTTGAGATGGGGAAGGGAAGGGTAACGGGGTCTATTTCAAGAGTTCATGTTTTCGGTGACAACTATCGGCCCTCCCCAGCTGGAGATCCCGGGAGGGAGGCAGTATCATTACGTTTGCGTTTTAAAGACTTCAATCTCCAAAGCAGAAGAGATAGTATCCAAGGGGAGGAGGAGGAGCAAAAATAAAGAAAGGAATCTCAAATTCAAAACCATACAAACAACCTTTCCATTCAGAATCGCAACCGCTAGCTCAGCACCTCGGGGTTCCCATCTGTGGAGCGCAGCAGCCTTTCACTGCAACGGTTCAAAGTCCACGCGGCAAATGGATGATTTTATTAATAGACAGAGCTCTTCCCCCCCATCACAGAACTTGAGGCTTCTCGTCTCTGAAGGACCCAGAGTCTCCGTGTCTTCAGAACTCAAAAGGGAATTCTGGGGGCGCTGCTTCCCCCCGTTACCCTCCCCTCGCTCTGCTCTGGAAGCCCCTTTCGCTGCTTACGTGGCTGGGGAGGGAGGAGGGACAATGGAGAGGGCCCCGGGGACAGAGGGTTAGATTAAGATTCATGAGTTGTTCGATGAGTTTTCGTTACTTGGTGAGCTGGAGGAAGAGGAGGAGGAGGATGATGAGAAGTTCATCCCCGTGAGTCCTGGGGGGTTTGTGGCAGTGTTTTGTCCACTTAAGCTTTTCCGGCACACGGGACACGTGTCATGCTTTGGAGAGCAGACAAAAACAAAACAAGAAATAGGGGAAAGAGAATTAGAAACACGATACAGGAATGGCACTCAAGGAAAAGGCTGGGATGACACTCCTTCCTCTGATCAAAGGCTGCTCATGCTTAGGCCTCATTGTGGAGGTATGAAAATATTTACAGGAGAAGAGTACCACCAGAAAAAACACCCAAGTGCTACAAAGCCCAGGTCACCCACTCAGGCGGCACTAACCTGTTCCAGCCAAGGGACTATACAGCTGTTGTGGAATAGGTGATTGCAAGGTAACTGCCGGACATTTTCACCGACTGTATAGTCTTCTTTACACACAGGACACTCTAACCCAGAATCTGCATGGTAAGGGGAAAGCAAAACACAGCTAAGCAACAAAAGAGAGAATGATGCTCAAAGCAGCTGATGTAGGATCCCACCACCTCTTCCCCTTCCCCCCGCTGCCTCTTGTGGCTGCTGCCCCCACCACTGCTTCATCCCTGCAGAGAGGGAAGCGTGTTGCTTTGCAGCTCCTACCTCCATCACTCCACCTCTCTCTGCCCTGGGTTTGCTGCTTTGTTCCCTTCCCTTCTGCTGTCATCTCTGTCCGCACTGAACTCTGCGGAACAGTTTGCCTCCCCAGGGCAAATCCATCCTGTCTACACCGCTCTTTTTTGTGTGCGAGTATAACAGAGCTTCACCTTTCTCCCTCTCTGAAATGTTTTAGGCCTTGAAGGTACTAGCAGACAAAGTTAAAATCCCGAGAAAACGTTAAACAGAACTTTCACAGAGCTCTTTGTGAGGGATTCCCTGGAGGAGATATACATACCTACGTGTTCC